CGTACTACCTCGCGACATACAAGCTACCGAATCTACCGAATGCAGGTGGATTGCTGATCTTGTCACCCACGGTGGACTGGGCGAACACCCACAAGGGCGCGCAGTCGTCGATGGTGCGACACTCGCGCACAGACTATGTTGGGCCGATCCTCAACTCGGGGTACACGAGGGATGCGTTGGTGGGTGACTTGCCCGCGGAGGCGGCGTCGAGCGTTTGGATCTCGCCTGCGTCGCTGAAGATGAAGGTGTCGACGGGAATGTTCTCGCAGATTCCGCGTACATGCATTGTGGTTGGCGGAGAGGAGATGACGCTGGATCCTGTGGTGACGCTGCGGGACCGGCTGCAAGCGGACATGGGGAAGGAGGCGGTGACATACATCGAAGCGGTCGATTGCACGCACGACTTCCTGATGATGGGATGGCACGAGCCTGAGAGGACCAATGTGCTGCGTGAGGTTGCGGTGTGGGTGGACAGGCTCTGGAAGTCGGTGTAGTCCACGATGACCCCCGTGCCGTGTGTTGCTGTTTCGAAAATGTGGTGCCCAGTACTCTGGTGTCTGTTCTCTTAATTCTGGGGACGTGTTCTGCTTTTCCGTACTCCTCCATGAACCGTGAGGTAGGAGCTACTCCGATATTTACCATCAGCCTCCGGTGTGCGAAGAAATAATTGCATGTTTGCTTTTCAGTTACCGCCTGTCCTCATGCTTGATCACTTATCGGACCCTCCCTTGTACATCAACGGTGAGCGTGCAAAACGTCAGGGTCTTCAGTCCGATCTAAGCACGGTATGCAAAGATGCCTCGTTCAGTGTCGGTATAAAAGGTTTGAACGTTGGGGAGCTATGGAAGCTGCGCTGAAGAATGATCCGTGGGGAACTCGGAGGAGATACTACAATCCTCAAATTCAGATTTACACGAGAGTTACTCAACGTGTTAGACCGGGGCTGCGCGTGAAACCTGAGTGCTGGTAGGGCCTTTACACACGGTCTTGAATGGCATTATCAGAACATCACGTTTGGAAATGGGACTGAACGTCTAACCACCCTGATCGAGTGGAGCGATATTACAAGGTTAGCCAACCCATCTCCAATGTGAGTGGACGTCCGACGCATCCGGCAGTGAAGATTTGGAACATGACAGGCTGTGTTGCGATCTATATGCTATGTCTGCGTGACGTCTTTCTGTTCATCACTGAGGGGAGAATTCTACTGGTATCTTTGGCAGCAAGAGACCTGCGTCAGGTGCGGCCACGCTGATCCCCGTTCACCAAGAAGGCAAGGTTTGCATGTGAATGCCTACCGGCGGGCATAGGAAAGATGTTGGGTCAAGATCGACGCGCGGTAATGTAATTCCGTCAACAGCGCATCCGTGTGATGAGCAACCCTAGACAGAGTGCTGGTTTTCATGCACAGAAGTCAGAAGTCTAGGCGGCGTTTCTGGGGAATGCGGATCAGTACAGTTCGCTGATAGTGGAAGGTCAAGAGAGATGCATGCCGCTTGATAACGAGTCTGGTATCCCACTACCGCAGCCTGGTGTGAGTCGTGTATGCCATTAGAACGCTCCCGCAGTGGGCCATTTATAATGACGACGAAACAAACACTGGACCCATAGAATTACACCCCAACGCGTGGGGGAAACAAATGCCGAAATGTTAGAAGGAGGGCACGGAAATGTTGCTAACATTCATTGACCACATCATCAGATTCGTCATGTCAAATGTAACTTGTATGTTCTCATGGCTCACGTCTATCACGGGATACGTGTTGACTATTGACGCATCATTGTGAATACACATCAGCAGTGGGTAGGATAGGACGCCTTCCCGCTGGATCTGGATGGTTTGCAGACGCACAGCGAACTGTGAAACAGACCCGTTGTGTCGGTCCGTGCCGTTTGGCAGAAGAAAGGCGCCCGGAGGGCGGCCGTTACCAGCTGTTACCAATAGGTTGCCAACGAGTGACTAACGAGGGTTGGAATGGATGAGGTAGAGATGAGCGGAGCCCGAAAACAACGTATGCAACGCTCGATCTGGTCTGGAGGGGGTACTCCCCTTCAGGTGCAAACGTGACAATCCAGAGTCTTCGGCGTCTAACAGTCGTTTTTGAGGTCAGTCAGATCAGCCGCGTTGCCGACAACATTTAGAGCTCGATTCTATTCTGCCATTGTGTCCAAACATCTGCGGGAAGGCATCCACTAGAGCCGTACGGACCAGTAACACGTACACTCCCCCTCGCAGACATCACAGCCCACTCCATACTTTTAGACATGTTGAACTCAATGTGTGCGTTGCGGACTTCGGGCGGGAATGAGCGGGATTCAGCAATGTCCTACTTTGGTAGGTGGTGGCTCGAACCGTAATTTGCCGGGCCCAGCCAGGTCAGGACCATAGCGACCGTTGATTCCGCATTCCACATCAACTCCGCTTGCGCACAAGTATTTTGGATAGGCCTTTCGATATGCAATTAGCTGCAATATGGAATCAGCTGTCAAAGCATCTAAACCGGGATCAGGCCATCGTTGGACCGAAGCGAACAGAACAGTTTGGCGCCCATGTGAAGGAGTCTAGAAACTAGTGTCTGTTTTGATTCCCATCCAAACGCGCTACATACAGCATGTCCAAGGTCACTGATTGTGGAACTGCCAATGGGCTGCCTTGTTGACGCGCGGGGACACGGTGCAAGAAGTATGGATTGGCCAGCACCCTGGGCTGATCTTCTCGCATTGTATAGTTACGGCACAGCGTTTGTGAGAACGGGAAGCCAGGGCCATGTAGCGCATGCACAGGGTGCTTTTCCACAGGATCCAAAGCATTTCAAATTCCAAAGTCGGTCCTTTGCCTCTGTCCGAGCAGCCGCTCAAGTTCGAGCTCGTCACAAGATCCGAGTCTTAATGTTGGCCAGACGGGTAAGAACGCATAAATCTCTTGCTGATGATCCGACCAATGCCTAGCGCCGTGGATCACAATGGCGCCGTAGTGGCGCCGGTCACAAGATGCTAGGGCGCGTATCCAAATCTTAAAGTTCGATGCAGCAAGGATACCCCAAATGATAGCGCGACCTCAGGGCAAAACGTCAACGTAATCCAATCCAGCTTCAATCTTAGATCCATCATGGCGGCATGTCCATTCGTCTCGTACGTGAAGTCCGATTTGTCCGGCGAAGCATCAAAGTCATATCCTCATCAGCATCGTCTTTTCCTGTTGAGCAATGTCACTGAATCTACTAGACTTGCGACCACTCCACGCGCTCCTGATAAGTACGGTCTAGCCTACACCGACTGTCCGAGCTTGAGGCCCACCCGGAAGACCCAACCTTTGTGGCGCTTAATAGGTTGCGACAAACAATGGCCTCTACTTCAGCCGCTTTGCCTCGGCTTGACAAGATATTCCTTGTAGGCATATGGCTAGAGACTGTGCTATGGGGTATGTGAGATGTGCGCCATCCTCGTAGTGCACAACACTAACCCACTACTTCCTGCAGCCATGAAGTAGCTCGCAATTTCTACGTGAAGCGACAGCGTACTGATAAATGCATTAGTGTTGTGATTTTCGCCAGTGCGATATGGATTATATTTTGGAAGCGCGGTGGATCCACCCAATGGTAAGCTCACTGCAGATCATCCTCGTCGTGATCTGAACATGTACCCCTAGGATGCTGGGCATTACCTCCACCATCCTGTTCTCTTTTGCAACCATTCATATCTCAGTCTCCTTACAGCAGCTCCTTGAGGCGTTCATATATATCCCACCCGGCGCATCCCCGCTCTATTCCACTCTTTATTGGGCGGATGATACCACCTCGTTATCTATCATAAAAGATGTGCTCTACGATACTACCGTACGTACGAGGGGTTTCGATAACAAAGCACTTTCTGACTTCTCATTGACCACAGGTTTGGCTGCAAGACATTGTGCTCGTATGTGTTTGTGTGCCGTTGTGTCGGCAAACTACTCATTCCGAGATTGGTAGATATGGCGTCTCTATATCGTCTGGAACCGCAACTGGAAAATCTGCGTTGCACCGGTACTTGTGTCCTCCATCTAGTTGGGCGTGCTGCCTAACTCAAAATTACTAGATCATCGTCGATCTGGCCCACATGGGTAAGCAACGGCCGACGACGCAGACAATGTGTCTAACCCGAGTTATCTTGTCCTTCGATAGCGGCAGCGTATGGCGCAACCATTCTCGAAGTTCGTGGAACAGTCAGCATCTACAGCCCAGTGGTGAAGGGACTTGGCTTGGCTGGATGGTCCTTGGACCTCGTGGTCAACATTAGCGTCACGCTGGTGATTGCTGCGCGGCTGTGGTATATGGGAATGAAGGTCACCAGTATGACCTCTAGCCGGACACACAGCTCCGATCAACAACAGAACAAGTATCTCGCACCCATCTTCACCATTATAGAGTCTGGCGCACTCTTCGCCGCTGTCACAATCATCATGCTCATCTTATACCTTACCGGCAATCCTGTGACTTTGGCTGCTTTAGGTATTGCCACCCAGCTTGCGGTACGTCGACACGTTGCTGTTCCCGCGATGTACTAACGGTTCTCGTGTAGGTGACCACCCCTCTTCTCATCATCGTCCGTGTAGGACTGGGCCTGACCCACGGCCTGCCTAAGGCGTATAAGAATTTGTCGACCACAGTTTCGGATTTCCAAGCGGCGACATTGTCCCAGTCGGGGACATACGGCGGCAGTGCCATTCGTTTCGCTCCGTCTCGCGATATTGCGACGTCAAGTGCTTCATCACAAGGAGAAATGGTGTATGTTATGCAGGATTTCAAGGTGGCTGACAGCTTGGGCATTGATGAAATTACTACAAAGTAGTCAGTGTGCCTCGCGATGAGCTTGTGATACCTGCCGATACCTGTCATGTATATGAGTATCTTGTTCTCTCCAGCTGTATAATTAACACCTGCATCTGTATCGCGGTGCTGTGAGAGTCGCAGCAGGGGAGCCTCAAGACCTTCTTTCGCAAGGTGGCTTATAAGACAGAATGTATCTTTGTACTATTGCTGTTCATGGTGAATGATACAGGCTGAACACGCGGGGTTAAGCCATGCCCCGCGAGTTGGAGGGAGGGCTTTAGAGGATCTCGGTTTCGTCGACATCGTGCCGAGCAGCGACGTCGATGAACCCTGGGGACAGGAGTCTCACCAGTTAAGACGTCTTGCGGCTGCCCATGAGAAAAGCCTCAGCGACGCCTCTGCCGCTAGAGCCGGCTACCTCTTTGACGTCATCAGCAATATCGTACCAGAAAATCTCCTTGGTCCTGGGGAGCGTCCGCCGTGGCGTTATGAAACCAAGGGTGAGGACCCCAACGGTAGCAGACATCTAATTGCACGCATCCTCGTTACGAAGATTTCAACCAGCATTTCCATCAGTGAGATCGCGGCGACCATTGATCGAGTGGTCGGGGATTAAGTTCTACTCGTACAGACTGACCTGTAGTCGACATGCAAAAGCTGGCTCATCGAGGCATTGGTGGCATTGCGGGCTCTCGGCGGCGAGTATTCAAGCATTCTGCAGCTTGCGCCAGGTAGTGAGCTCGAGAAGAGGATCATAACCTTTGGCCATGAGGGAGATGAATGGCGGAACAGAGAGGTCTTGCGGCGCGCCCCCAGCGCCCTTGTAGCGTTCGCGGACATTCTGCTGCTGGACGTACCACTATAAAGTAAGAGCAAATGCGAGTATTCTGTTTGCATAGATCCGCCTAGTTGTATCCAATCAACAACACCTCTGGTCGGGACAGAGATGCTCCCTGTACATAAGAATCAGGTTCACTGGGATAATAAACGCGTATACATTACGAATATCCCAGGTGTACCCGAGCCCAAAGCTCCGCCTCTGCATGGAATTCCCGCTCATGCGTACCTGTTATCTCTCCGATGGGAGGTGTCCGGTCCGTATGCTCGATGTCGCAGTGAGCCTTCATATATTCCCAACATTTTCGATATCACTCAGCCGTCTCTCAATCCACGACATCCACCACCGTGCCATCTTCTACTACAAGGACATCTCGAGGTGCAAGATACCCGTGGGTGAACATCGTCAGGTATCGTCTATGACGAACCATCATAATGTCGTCAATCTTCACAGGGAACATGCTGAAGTGCTCAAAAAAGGCTTTTCTGCGCGAAAGAATCGGTGGAAATCGTCATGGGAGCTGAGTGGCCCGAACGAATCGCTGTCCATACGGCCGTTGTCCAGCAGCGGTCCTCCCGTGACCGATGCGCCAATACCCTCGGCTGGCGGAGAAAGTGTACGCAACTGGCCCATATAGCCCGTGAGTTGCTCCACTGCGCGACGTCTCGTGTCAGCTGGCCATCGACGCCACGCAAGGTCCATCTGCACACAGTTGCGCACCAACTCCATCAGGATGTACCTGCGGCCGTTCGAACAGAAAACAAGGCGGACTTCGGGGGCTGGGATCTGTTGACTTTTGGGTACGTCGGGCAAGCGTCGCTGCCGGCCCGGGTCACGTGGTCGTGTGCCGGTGTGGGAAGAGGACTTATGTAGGCGTCGCGCGCTGTAGGTAGCCCCATCGGTTTGTAACCTAATCACCCATTGATCCCTGTCCATCGAGGACGTTGTCTGCCGGCGGTCTTTCCGGCGTCGTTCTCACAGGATCGTAGTGTGCTGAGCGATAAAGCGCAATTCAGCGGCCTCAGCCGCATCATTGCGAATACGTGCTTTTATGAACATTCTTATACCAAGCCGGGTAGTCCTCCCCTTTCTGAGCTCAGGATAGAGGACATAACCTAGACGAAAGCGTGTAGACAGGAAGGGTGGTCTTGACGAATCTGGCAACGGGGATGGGTGATCCTGAGCCTCCGTTCGTGTGTCAAACTTTGTCCTTCTGTCGTGCTCCCGGCGTCGCATCCAAAACAATTTGTGCAACGCGGCGCGAGAGCGAGATCCTGAGCAACGAGCATTTACGGTGGGAGTTAAAATTTAACGCGGCTTTATTCAGGCCGCTTACAACACAACTCTTCATAGAAACTCAAATTATGCCTTACGTAATTGTAATACATATAAATACCAATCCGAATAGATACCCTTTGTGAATATCCTCAAAATCGCAGGAAGAATGCCTTCGCCATTGTGTGATGAACGGCTTGTAGAAACTCTTGAAAGCTATCGAGGAATTAGTCTCCTAACCGACGATCGCGCAAGACGTCTGGGGCAATACGATAAGTGCATCCCTCTTCCGCGCTAGAGATTGACCTAGTAGAGCCACGGTTCAAGCAGTGGAACTCACAGCCCCACAGGTCAATCATCGCCGTCCAAGTGATTGGGAGGGTGCGCCTGTCAAGAAGTCCTATCCACAGTGTTGGGGTGCAGGATTGAGACATTGATACGTGAGCACTGGGAACCCAATCAACATATCAAGCCTTAATCGCGAAACCTGATGGTACAGTATCAATAATTACAAGACGAGTCACATACACGCTAGTCTTGCTGTTGCTCTGCAAGAGAGACGCCGAGCGGTAGCTGTGCCCCCTTTTCCACTTCGCCCTCCAGCATGGGCACCAACGAGCCTGCATATTCTCTCCTCAGTCGAGAGATGTCCTCTGTAAGCGCAAACTGAAACCGAGAAACCAGAACGAAGAGAAACGCCTGCATCTCGTACAGCCTAGATGCAGGAATCGTGTGGTCACTATAAGCACCGTCAAAGAACGAGCATGCGAGCACTCACGCAAACTTCCAGCCAATACAGCTGCGAGCGCCGGCGGACAAAGTCAATCTGGTGACGAGGCATCAATGGTGTAGAGCTAGGCTACCTCTCGAATCAACTCACGTATTTGCCCACAATCCGACGTTGGGCCCATTCTTCTCCGTCGGCCTGAGGAAGCGCTCAGGGTTGAACTCATGTGCATCTTCCCCCCATACATCTTTATCCCTGTCAGAGTGGAGTGCATGGTGAACACCCGGACACGTTATATCGATCAGTCAGAGCTCACATGTTATAACCAGGAACGGACAGTATCAGGCGCAGAGTCTTACGGATAGGCACCTCGCTGATGACCTTCCCCGACCGCGTAGTGATGGGCGTGGACAGAGGCAACACTTCATCTCTCACAGGCCGCCGATACATATACGGCACCGCCGGGTGAACACGCACGACCTCTTTTAGAAACGCCTGGAGGTAGGGCATCGCGTCCGCGTCCGCAGCGATGAGCCCACCGCCCCCTCGCGCGCGGATGCTGTTCTCCACGACGCGAATTTCAGCGCGCAGACGGTCCTGGTACTCAGGATGCCGCGCGAGCTCGAGCAGCGCGCAGCTCATCGTGCTCGTCGTCGTCTCGGAGCCCGCGAACATGATCGAGCGCATCTGCGAGATGACCTCGTAGCGGCTCATACGGGTGCTCGGTTCCGGAGATGTGCTTGCTTGTGCTGCCATATCTGGTGTCAGCCGTTGTGGGAGGGATGCTAGCAGCGATCGTCCGGAGTTGGTCGAAGGGTGTTGTGTGACTGTATGCTAGCTAGAACTAAAGAATATAATGTTATGGCCGCAATTGACTGACTATATGCGCGTCGAATGTACGCGCGCTGACTCTGTTAGATACCAAACCGCGATGCATGTCCAAATGACGACGCGCGAAGAACGTTCAACAGCGATGCGTGCCCGAATGACCACGCGCGAACGATAGTGCGTGTCCGATTGACCACGCGCGAATGACAATATAACAAACTCAACACTCACCGTGTACGTGTGACTCTCGGGTCACTCGTCCGTACCAGCGCAATGAGAGAGAGAGAGGATGAGAAACCGCGAGACGATTGTGGTTCGAGGGAGAGAGGGAAGTGTTGGAACTTGAGATTGTGGCGAGCGCATGCCACCATATTTGGCATTGTTTGTGGTACCTCGCAGACTTTGCGCGAGCCGTCCTGTATGTTCCTTACGCGTTTGACAGAGCTCAGACAAACGCGATATATCTTCATTGATTGTTCTCGCTACGGGTCTCGGACGAACTTTAACAGGAAGATATTATTCTCGACATCGACACAGGTTTTTATAAGTACAGAGAGTCCTTGACAGCTATGATATCATATGCAGCCTACGAGGAGAGAATGACGTACATACGACGAGGTCGTTGATCGACACATCGTCTCAAAATGGAAAACACTTTCCTAATCGGGATGGGAGCCCTTTCCTGGGCACAGGCAGGCTAAGCCCAGCACTTCCGGTCTGAGTCCACAGCCAGCTCTCATCTCAGCATCACAAGGGTGTCGCTTCCGACGCGTCATATTTACTTATGCTTCCCGCCGCCCTCGAGAGCGTGACGACGCCGGCACCCCTGATCGACCTACGCTGCTGCTTCCTCTCGCCTTCGACACTGTCCTCGCAAGCCCTAGAGTCGGAATATAACAGATACAACCGCATCATCAATCGCATGAGTGAGAGAGAGAGACCGAGAAACGAAGATAAGAAAATAGGAAAACAGAAACCGCACGCGCCGTCGTGGTTTGAGTCCTACCGCATTCTCCTCCACCACACCGTTCTCGTGTCGAGAACGGCGGTGGCGCACCAAACATGCTCATGACGTCGCGCTTTCCTGCCCTGAGAGAACCTTGCCCACTTTAGTCTCGATGATTTCTTCCGCGACTTTGTGCACTTCTTGCTTGTTCCGGCGCAGTTTCGCGAAGGCCTCTCCTGGCAAGACCCTGCATAACCAAGTGACCACTGGCTCTGTGAGAAATTCAGCTAGGTTGTCGAAGACTAGCCTCGCGTCTGACGGTCGAGAAGCGACACCAGCCCTGCACCGCCAAATGTGAGCATGACTTTATGGCGTCGACAGGAGAAGTTCAAACATGAGGTTCATGTACGACTTTGCAGGCTCATTATCGGCGTCCTCCAGGCATCCGGTGTAGTAGTCGAATGATGCTACGTAAGCTGCCTGTCAGCTGACGCTGAAATTGCCTGGATCGAGGACGACTCACCTTCGCAAACAGTGTCAACGGTAGCGACATTCAGGTGGCTTGCGACATTTATAGCGCAAGCAGGGCCTGGTGAGCTTTCGACGAGCTTGCACCATTTGAAGGATAACTGAGCATCATGCGTCATCAACAGACGGCAGGAAGCAAGAAAGGTACGGCGTACTATTTCCGCATACTGCACAAAAGTGGGGAAGAGAGCTTTGATCACAGGTGCGCCGAAGGCAGGGTCCATTAGCTTCCTCTGTCGCTTGTGAGTTTCCGCTGTATTTCCATCCTAATGAGTGTATTCTGTAGCGTATGGGAAGCAAGCACGGACGGTTTGCTCCATCAAGCCCATCGTCTCCAAGCAGTTTGCTGAGCACCTTGCGCTCTGCTGTCTTCTCGAAGGTATATCCCGACTTGTGCAGAATGTAGTGCAGTGCTTGCGGGTTGCTGACCCACAGTGCATCCATCTGCCAAAAGCACTCGTAGCGCCGCTCACGTCACGATGAGCCCGAGAGCGAAGACAAACCCCCAGCGCCACCTTCACGCGTGCAATCTTCCTATATTCTTCCCCCCATTTCGCGTCCATGGTGCCGACTTCCTGCTGGCGCATTTGTTGCAAGTTACCTGAAAGAGGTCAGGAAGAAATGCATAAACCAGGACTTGGGACTAGGCACCAATCCAGAATGATACCGACTCTGGGCCAGGAATGTCGGCGACAGATATCCTAGACCATCGTTTGTACAGTACACGCAGGACAATGGTTGAAACAAGGATTATCAATGCGAGAGGCACCGTCATTGAGACCGATGTTGTTGAGAGAGAGACTACAGATCGGCAAAGATGAGTTCCTTATAAGTCAATGAGCGTGGTCTTCAAGCGGGTAGCACTGAAGTAGAGTGGTACCCACGCGTTGTCAGGCCTCATTGCTGTACCGAAAGAGGCTGGGCAAGCAAGCCCAAACCGCGCGCACTGGCAACATCATCAAGGGTTGAACGATGAGTGCCGTAAGATCGGAACAGCGTGTTCAAAGATGCGCGGAGAGACGCTAACTTGAAGAATTTGAAGAATGCGTTTGACATGCGAAAGTAAAAACAACGTCTCCCAAACGATTCCAGTGGCGCGATCACTGATCGGACATCTAAATCTCTTTAGCCGATCGCAAGCGCCGAATGGCATACCATATTGAGACCACATAAGATTTCACTCTTTGCAAGTTGGAATTGTGGTCGTGCCTCAGTTTGTAAGACGCCCTCCCAAGCAGGACTGCAGCAGAGCAAGTCGAACTATGGAGCAGTTGCGCACCAGAAATGAAGCACGTTGTCGACCGCTACCTTAGCAAGGACTCTTACCGTTACTTCGAGGTCTGTACAAGGTAAGGAACTACTATACTGGCCCCTCGGCGCATGCATATTCGTCGACGATATTTTTAGTTGCAAAGACGCATGCCTGCGCCGTCGGGCTTGGTATAGTCGCGGGACGTCAATCAGAAATATCATTTTCGGATTTCTGTGTAGATAACACGTGAACTTACTTTGTCTGCGTTCCACGCCGAACGAGGCTGCATGCAATGATTGACCTTTTTGGCCAAGAATATCAAAATAAGATTTAAGGAAAAGTGAATAGCACCTGTCTGATCTTCTGGATAGACAGACTGATCATTGCATGCAGGGAATGCTCACTGCAGGGCTCACGACAAGGGTGGATGAACCTTTCCAAGCCCGACGGGGCTCCCACGGATCCTGAAATCAGACGGCGCCGGACGAGCGGTAGAAGGCATGTCTATAGTGATGCAGAAGGCTGTTATGCCCGTACAGCCCGCAGGTTTACCGCTGTGTAGCGTTGCGTTGACTCAAAAGCCGCGACCCAGCTGCAGTACGACTAAAACATACCCGACCGATACCATGTCAACTCCCATAGTGCAGCCCCTCTCGCCCCAGAGGATGTACGAAGTCCTCATAGGAGAGGTCCTCTCCACCTCTCTCAGCACACTCGCTATCACGCTCTTTATTTCGCAATCAACATGGGGCGTGATAGACTGGAGACCTGTACGTCCATTGCGCAGCAGTCTTGCTATGTGGATCGTCTCAACGTCCCACATAGATCCTCATTCTGTTCACTGCCGACTACATCGGGTTCGGATTTGACCATTACCTCGACAACAGGCCCATTCTCCTGAGAGCACGTGCGGCTGGGGAAGCAGACATCGTCACCGTGTTCTGGCGCGCGCGTTTCGCGCTCACATCCGCCGCCATCTTGCTTGCCGTCGCCCTCATCCTCAGCCCGCTTTCCACATGGCTCATCACGGCGACCCTCCTCGTTCCTGCGCTCTTGTGGGACACGCCGCTCTTCTACTGGGGCCAACCCGTGGTGCAGCTGTCCGAGAAGGCCAAAGGTGAGACCGAGGAGCCTCAATCGGGCTTCGCCATCAAGCGCATCCCAGGGATGAAGCCTGTCATTGTGGGATTGATCCGTGGGTAAGTCACATGTCTTCCCTGCCGTGTGTCAGGGCTCGCAGACGACGAGAGACCACAGATGCGGGTACTATGCCGTGATCCGCTCAGTGGTGGCCGCTTTATACCCCAACGGGCCCGTCATGCGTAGCTGGGACCCCATCCAGCTCGTCATCTGGTCCACGATCAACTGGACGTGCATCTCAGTGCGTATCTCAGTCCGCTGCTTCGCGTTTCTGCCTCCCGCTCATACCGACCCGGAATTGTCACAGACGCTAGCCGACGTACGCGATTTTGCTGACGACCGCGTGTCGGGCGTCCCGACGATCCCTGTCCTGCTCGAGTCGGTGTACAAGACGCGCGTGCTGCTGACTATTGTGCACGCGCTGACGATGCTCACGTTCTTCAACAACCCCTACATTGTGCTTAACACGCTGTACACGATCGGGCTCGTCTGGATTATGGACGATAAGAGCCCGAGATTCATTTACCGCCTCAATACCCATTCGCAAACGCCTGTAGCGGCCACATACAGCCTTGTCCATGCATATCGGTGGCTAAATAGTAGTAATACCATTTAGTTATCTTCTTACACAGAGGACTTGAAGATCGTGTTTTCGTACAGATAAATGAGTTACATTACCATAAAAGGTTTTTGGATAAGATCACTCTTTGCATGCACTGTTACACTGAGTGTAGTCTGATGTCTTTGCCCACAGTCAGGTGCTGCAGTCACTGTCATTCGTGTCCGTATATAGCAACCACTCTGACTTGCACCTATCTTAGCTGCCTTATAGGGATTAGTCAGCTTAATCAGACTAAGTGCAGTTAAGAGCAAATCAAGACAAACGTAAAGATGTATTCCACCTTATTTTGTCTTAAATAAGACCTTTAAGCTTAGTAAGCCCACCTAAGCCGGAGTGGTGGTTTCCTAATGCTCTTGAGCTCTGCAGGCGCTCTTGTCATATCGTGAGAGGAATTATGACCTCGGCCACTGCTATGTCTGATGACACCAGAATCATGACCTTCCGAGAGTCAGTGACAAGTGTGAGCTACTATGCAGTGGTCATGGAAGCACCTGCCTCGGAAGGCGGCGGTATGTCAACAGCAAATTAGTGGTTAGTGATGTTGGAACTCGAGATTGTGGCGAGCGCATGCCACCGTATTTGGCCATGTTTGTAGTACCTTGCAGACTTTGCGCGAGCCGTCCTGTACGTTCCTTACGCGTTTGACAGAGCTCAGACAAACGCGATATATCTTTGTTGATTGTTCTCGCTTCGGGTCTCAGACGAACTTTAACACGTGACTACTATGCCAGATGACTGCAGACACTAACCGTACCTAGAGTTGATCCTCTTCCATTTCTCACTTCTGTTGGCCGTCATAAAACCACTGCCGCCGCCCCGATAGAGCGGAGCGCTCATTTATTTCGGGTGTATGATGCACAGGGCCCTCAATCGCATCGCATAACGGTACAGTAGTTGTACCGTGCTCGCTCAACCCTCCCTCTCAGTGGAAGCTCCCGCGAGCGACTTCAACCATCTATCTTTCAGTTATCCCCGCGTGCATTCGTAATGGGCATCAGCGCCTCTACGACGATACACTCTGACCCTCATGCCTATGCAACTCCTGTCTCTGGTGATGGAGGTGTCGACGATGTGTGCAGAGCCTACGATTATGTCATTGTCGGTGGAGGTAAGTCTCCGTGAACGGACACCGTCCGAGTACCTGTCTCATTCTTTTGGCAGGAACCGCTGGCTGTGTGCTTGCATCGAGACTATCAGAGGACACCACCGTCACAGTACTTCTAGTAGAGGCAGGTAAAAGGCAAGCTTGGAGACTGCGGCAAATGCGTCTGCGTTGACTGAGGTCTATCATTCCAGTCATGAAGGGTTTTTCCAAAGCCGTATACCCCTCCTATTTACCGCGTCGCTGGGAGGCGAATACGATTGGGATTTCGAAACCACGTATGCAGACTTGTTTCGCTCCAGCAATTGCCTTACCAGCGTCCCATAGACCGCAGGAAAAGCTCGGTGGTCGCCAAATCTCATGGCCTAGAGGCAAAGTGCTTGGCGGCTCAAGGTGCATACCACGGAGCGTTCTGTTTTCTGTCCCTAAATATCATGCAGCACAGTAAACGCTGTGATGTATCATCGCTGTGCTCCAGAAGGTCAGCTGCGGGACTGCTTCCAGTGCTATTCCCTTCTCACTGCAGTATAGACTTCGATGCATAGGCCAAACAAGGTGCTCTAGGCTGGGGATATGACACGATGAAAAGGTATGTGAGGTCGATACCGCATTTGATACATCTGTCAAATGTCTGCCTCTAGCTATTTCCGTAGAGCAGAGAAGTTCCTCCCGGAACCGGGCTCAAAGACCGATGCACTACTGCACGGGGATTCTGGACTGATGAAGACAAGAGATGTAACCTTAGCGGTAGGTCTTCCCAGCGTCCCCGAGACATCGATGGACCCTGACCGATTGCATAGCCTCTCTGTGATGCATTCGTACAAGCCTGCGAGACTGCGGGCATCCCGCGTCTAGAGTAAGGGCCTTCCTCAGGCACTGTTCTGCGTCATGTTAATAGTTTGCCCAGCGACTTCAATACGGACAAGGGCACGTTGGGGGCCGGAGCCTTTGGCGCTTTTATAGACGAGAAAGGCCAACGTTCGTCCGGCGCTAAATTTAGCTACACGCGGAGAACTCACTAGGATGCAGGGAGCTCTGCGGCCACCGCCTACCTTAACCCTGAGGTACTGCGGAGACCGAATCTCACGGTTGCCGTGTCAGCCACCACGGAGCACATCTTGTTCACGACGGAACCAGATGACATGCCCAGAGCCACGGGGATACAGCTCTCAGCCAGCAAGGATGCTCCAAAATTTCAAGTGCATGCTCGGAAAGAAGTGCTCTTGACTGCTGGAACGATCGGTTCTGCTCATCTGCTCATGGCGTCTGGCATCGGGCCCGCTGCGCATCTGGCAGGGAAGAATATAAACGTAGTGAAAGACAGCCCTGCCGTGGGTAAAAACCTATACGATGTAAGTTTGTGATATTGGAGCGACGATTCACATCTCATTGTCACAAAGCATTTCTCCCCCGGAGTGATGATTGTGAAGGCGAAGCCAGGGCTCACTTGGGACTACCTGTACCGTCCTATACCTACCACCCTAGCGCTCATACAATGGCTGGCTTTTGGTACCGGGGTACTGGCAACAATTGCCGGACAGGCAGGTGCATTTGTGCGCTCGGACGATGAACAGTACGCATCACAACAGATACTCTAGTTTCGTGCGCATTTCTCATTTGGTATCTGGTGGTTGTAGTATTTCTTGGGGGTCCGAGAGTCGCCCCAAATTGCCATACGTCACCCATTCGTCGGGAGTCGGCGCCCCGGACGTTGAGATCACGTTCGCCCCTATGTCGGTCATCAACAGGGGTAGGGAAGCTCCCCCGCGTGAAACGTATGGAGTCACAGTGGTACGTTGCTCTATTGATATCACTCTCGCTCCTTTCGATCAAGCAGCAATGGTGATAATAGGGCCCGATCCTGCTCAAGCCCGAAAGCTCCGGAACCGTCGAACTACAGTCTAGTGACATCTGGGACAAGCCCATCATTGATCCTAAGTACGTTGAGCTGCTACCTTGGTACGCACCCGTCACAATGAAACTTGCAGCTATTTGGCGACCGAGAGCGACATGAACCTCGCCCTGGAATCGATGCGACTGTGCCTACGCCTGGTGCGACAAGCCCCCGTGGCATCCCAGCTGGAGCTTTCAGGCGCCCCGGAAAACGTGAAATTTGACGCCTTCTGGCCAACATGGGCTGACCCTGACAATGTGCGCTCTGTGTATACAAAGTTGAGATGCTTACGCAGTCGGCAAAATATCCCACAGGTGTCTGATGACGATTTGAAGGCGTGGATGGCAATACATGGCACCACAGCATGGCACCCAGTGAGTGCTACGCCATCATTAACAGTGGCAATGCCGCCTGATTAAACACGTTCTGTGTAGACGTCCACGGTGAAGATGGGGCTCGATCCCCTCACTAGCGCTGTGGATCCTGAACTTCGCGTGTACGGAGTTCGAGGCTTGCGTGTGATTGATGCCTCTGTGTTCCCCGACCAGCTATCGGGACATACGTGTGCAGTGGTCGTCGCGTTTGCAGAAAGGGCTTCGGATATTATTAGAGAGACTGCATGAGGTTGTTGCTTCCTAAGCATCTACGGTCGTTTATGAGACCCCAGATGAGCAGTTAGGTGATAAGGCGTATGTTTGGCTTCGTCTGGATAGCAAATTAGTTCTGTCTTCTGTCTTTGATGACATCTGTCCAACTTCAATGAACGAAATGACGAATAGCCGTTGATAGGGCTATCTCATCGAAAGATATACGTGTTCTCACTAAGGCTCCAATCAGTAGATGTCGTTGCATAATCACAACGGGCAGTCGTTACGTCTGACCCCCGTGAGGATCCTGGAACGAAGTACTCAGCCCAACGATCGATTTGTTAGCTATGTTGGTATACGAATGGTGAATGTGAACCGAGTTTCTCACAAGTCATTTTGATCTGGTACTTGCTATTGACCATTCCCTCCCCATTCCACCACAGTGTCTCGGTCTTGGATCACCCCCTTTGTGAGTCTGTGCAATGTCTGTCATGCTGTTTTGGCGAAATTGAGATTTGCCGACTGCAGGCAAGGTCACCATGCCTGGGGGCTTCCGCTATTATGTGGGCGTTTCTGCTTGTTCTTGGCTGGCCGCCTTAGCTCAATGAGAGTTCATAAAAATACACATTGAGTTCAACAGGCCTATCGATATGAAATTAGCTGTAACTGTTGGTTTGGACATCGCACATCATAAGGTGGTCAGTCGCTGACACCCTATCAAGGAAGTGACGCCACACGTCAGACGTTTCATGAGTAAGTCCTTTCTGATGGGCGCTGCGCGTGTTCAATACTGAGCATAGTTTCAGCGCGCTCTTTGATCTTGCGAAGGCAACCCTTGGAGCACGATTGCGATGATGCTCGGTGGCTCTCCGGACGTTTTAACGTTACATGCTTCGACAAATTAAAATAAGTCGTGCCCATCCAGTTACGGGCGCGAGGTGCCTTTTCCCCTTACGCTCTTCGTATACTCCTTTCCTCCTGCAGTCAACTTCGCGCCTTCTCGATGGATCTCGAGCTGAACACGAATATTGGATGCTTCCTCATTGGCGTTATTATTTCTACTCCGTAAGCGTGGTTTTGCTCTATCGGCGTCATATCGCTAAGCTTATCGCTGCCAGGTTGTATGGTCTCACTTGTGCTCAAGTCATGTGCTATGTTCGCGACTATCCGGAGGACTTGATCTGGTTGAAAAGCTTGGTAAGTCGTTATTCCTAGCAGGTGATTGCCGGCTCGTTAACATGGTCTTGCGGTTAGGTTGCTGTTTTATTGTGCGTGCTAATCGCTAGCATTTAAATATTCCACGGTAAACATTTGACTTTGTCAGCCTCCTGGATACCGCAACGTCAATTGTGTCGGTTGAGGTAAGACAAACCGTCAAATGAGCGACCTCAAGTGGGCCGACTGACCATGCTCTAGTTTGTCTGGCATTACCTAGTTACAGGTCATAGCAATCCCCTCGTCCTCAGCAGCCTGGATAGGTATTTATCCTGGCATTATCCAAATGTACTGAGCTGAGACATTTCACGTATGGTGTCTCAAGCACCGGTGCTGTGAGTCATCTTGCAGAGATATTGATCATTGGCTGAATACATCCTCTGCTAAATAGAATATCTTCTCGCTGTGAGTCATCTGATACTAGTTTGCGTCCATTCACACAATCCCCAACCACAACTTCGGATAGGCATTCATTGTGATCATTGTGCAATTGTATGTATCACTATTGGTCTTAACAATTCAGGCCCATGTTAACGTCTTCCTGTGTAGTTATTACATGCGCACTATATGGACCCGTGGGCTGTCTGTCACATGATGCATTGGAACGTACTGACGACCACGGTAGTGCTAGCCCGTAAGTCTTACAAGGTACCACTGACGGCCGTTCTGGTGAGCTTATACCGTGAGTGTACATTACGGTAGTGTCTCATGTTAATTAGGCTGCATTGGCCCTTGTATCCTTTGGTAAGCACGACCCGTGTGCCGCTGTTTCACTTTTGATACTGACATACTCTCTTTAGGATTCGGTGTCGGTAAGATACGAGTCTCCTGCGCGGAATTTAGCACGAGCTGATAGGCGCGCCTCACTGTCAGCAAATTGCGTTACAGGGTAACCATGCGGTCTGCGTGCGTATTACTCAAGCTAAATCGCCTCATCCATAGAATTCGCTCCCCGGCCATACCTGCACTGTACATCAAATTGCGGGTATGTGGCTCTGATTGGCCCGGACGAGTAGCTCTGACGGGCGCACATAGGTCGGTGCATCCATACAACCGTTCACCGCGTCTGTGACAGATGTCTGCATCACCGTCATGCTATGCTGGGTTCTGCACACCGAAAATAATGGGCTGGCATAGTGTGTATACCGGATTTGTCACTCTGGTGTTGCCTCTTGAATCAACCATCAATGCTAGCACCAACTCGCTCCTGCGCACTCTCATGATCTACGCGATTGGCCGAGGTATACTCACCACGTGAGTTTCTAAAGATCTCGACTGGAGCAATTGACTAAGCACGCGCCTAATTACTTAGCGCGTTGCAGATCGGGCAGGCTGTGTCCGTGAGTAAGCCATACGTGCGCTGCGCCCCGAGTCTAATATTTTTCAGTATGTTGCAAGTAGTCCCGATGCGTTCTACTGGTCCATGTTCCACTTTCCCGGAAGCAAAGGTATGCGTAAATCCATCATGTGAAGCCCCTGCTCACCTCGAGAATGCCGTGCAGTATACATAAACTCCGCTCTAGCCATGTCAGTTCCACAAAGTGTATCCAGCAGGTAATCGATACTGATAGTGTACGCCGCCTTTGACCACAAATTGCGCGACATCATATTCGTGGTGAAACAGGGAACTACAAGTCATCCACGACCATATCCGCAAATATAGCATTGGGCAGGGATATACCACTACGCGTTATGGACAAGGAGATGGCAAGCCCATCGTACAGGCGAGAGATCATATAATGGGTGTAAAATGCTGACCATTGGTGTCTACCCAAGCCCGAGGAACGGGGAGCGGCTGCGGTACGAGAACGCTCGCAAGACGGCCAACTGATATCCTCAAGCGACAACAAACCGCCCATGTACTATTTTGTGAGATTATATCTTTAATCAGTGTATCACGGAAAATTTTACTACACATCTCGAGGCCCTTCGCGAAATTCTTGCAAAAATGAGCAACAGAGGAACCAAAAATGATAAGATTTTATGACAATTGCTGATGCAGATATTCTGCCGGACAGACGAATTGCTACGGTTGCCTTGGAATCCTACCAGGTCAGCCATGGACAGGTATGGTATTCAGAAAATCGTAGTAGATTCCACGTGTGCGTGTATGGTTCCCAGATGCACTAAGGGCAGATGCTGAGCCGAGCAGCCTGAACAAAGAGGTATGATTGGAGTATATTTGACGATGGTACAACGCACAGCGACAATAGGAAACCGGCTGAGAGTCCATGAGGCACCAAGACCCCACTAGATTTAGAACTCAACATACGAGAGTTTACATAACGAGCGATTAAGCGAGCTAGGAAGGAAGGCGAATTCGAATCTGCCATGCAGTTCAATAACATGGGAGCACTGTCAAGCTAACGGTATTATCACAAGTAGTGTACACATACTAGGTGATTGAGCATTCCCTCTTAATCAAACCTGCTTGTCACGAGTTGGCACGGCGCCTAGCCGTTTTTTAATTTTTCCTTTTCGCGGGCTCGAACCCGCGACCTCTGTACTACTTGCCTGATACGGACACGTCGTTATCTACTGTACGATAAGATTAGATGGGGCGGCAGCGCACGGCACAGCTCGGGCTCCGCTGACACAGCCGCTCTGACTCACCGGCCCCCAGGGCCGCGTCGGCATGCTGTGCACGGACCAGCTGTGCACGGACCAGCTGCGCACGGACCAACGCGCACAGCCTGCCCTAATCTCCCCATGTATATAAGCCGGCCTCTGCTGCCCTAGGGACCTCAGTTTCGACCTCTTGTCCCTAGGTCAGTAAGCCCATCCTGTATTCTCTTTCTTACTTAACCAACTAATACATTTCTTGTCTCTAGCCTTAGGTTTGAGCTTAGCTCACCATCGCTTCGGTGAGAACTAGTCGAACGCCCCCCGCTTTCAGGTATTCCCCTGTCGCTTGACCTCAAGTCGCGACATTAGGTCGAAACTCCATAGCGGCCGGCGTTCATTGGAACCCAACCACTCACACTCACTTCCTACAGGTCGGGTGGTGCGCACCCCTACGATACTTCACGGTACATACGATACGTAGATAGCTTTACTATACATCGCCAACCCTCGAGGAACGAACTCTTCAACACCTGCACTTCAGTGGGCGGTGTTTGTCCTCACGGACGCGTGGACTAGGTTCCTGCTGCATAATAGTCAAAAGCAGTACTGGGCCCCACGTGAACTGCGAACCTCAGGGTCTTCTCGGGCGCCGTAGCGTAAGCTAGTGTAGTACGGCCATTTTTAGTATGCGCACCTCCCCGTCCTCCCCCCATCCAACGTGGCTGCCTGCCAAGGCCAAGTTCACGCATTCGACTCGCAGGACCTCATCGACGTCTACATCCCAGACGGCCCTGAGACTGTCCTCTACCGTTGCGAGCAGCAGCTGTGCCCAAATCGGACACCCCGATTGATCGAGGAAGATTACCCTCGCTACAAGGCGATCCGACGAGCGCAACACCCGCTCGGACCCCGAAGCACTCTCGCATCTCGATCGGCCTCGCGGCACTCTCGCCCTGTCTCCCCTACCTCCCGCCTCCCTCAAACTGTCGCCGATCAAGCGCGAGGAGATATCCCTCCCGACCCTGTGCCAGAGTCTGAGCCTGAGGAGGGTGACAGTGAAGAAGGAGTCTCGGAGTCCGAGTCCGCGGATCCTGCTCGGCCCGCCTCGCCGACAGCGCTCGCCCCCGCGTCAGCAGTCCCTGACGTACGTGACCCCCCCGCCGAACTTCCTTCGGCGCCTTCACCGCCGACTCCGCCGAGAGGCCGCTCAAGCACTCGCTCCTCTCGAAGTTCGGCCAGCGGAAGGCCACCACAGCCGCCTCCGCCCCCGCAGCATCCTCCGTCCCCCCCGACGCCGATAATGTCGTCTCCTGCAGCCGCCCCCGACAAGGAGACCTTGAAACTCCTCCTCCCGCTCCGCTACGATGGCAAGACCGTCATCGAATGCAATCGGTTCCTGTCCCAGTTGCGCATCTACTGGCTGGTCAACACGTCATTGACCACCATCGAACTCAAGGTGCATGTCGCACTTAGCCTGCTCGATGGAGACGCCCGCGCCTGGGCCACCCCCTACTTTGCCCAGCTCGCGTCAGTACAAGTAGGAGTACAAGGGGCCACAACCCCATTCGCGAACGAAGCGGCCTTTGCCGCCGCCTTCAGGGCCCGCTTCGGAAATCTCGACGACGAGGCGGCAGCACAAGTAGAGCTGGCAAAGCTCTGCGCGGACAAGTCGGTCAGCAAAAAACGCACCGCTGCGGAATTCTCCGCGCTGTTCAAGGGTCCGGCGGACCGCTCTGGGTATGGGGACCTGGAGCTACGCGACAAGTACCTGAGCGGCATCCCCTCCCGCGTGTACCGAAAGATCGAGCTCAAGACCTTCGCCACGTGGCAAGCAGCTGAGAAGCGCGCCACCGAGGTCGAGCAGATCCTCGACATCAGCCGGGCCCGTCGGCCCGAGCTGAACAACTTCTTCTCGGCACGAGGTCGAGGACGCGGCGGGGCACGTGGTGGTGCACCTTCGACGCACGCCGCTTCGGCCAGCATCAACGCGGCCGTCGGGAGAGGCAACTTCCCCGGCACATGCTTCGGCTGTGGGAAGCAAGGGTACCGACGTTTCGAGTGCCCTAACTGTAAGGACAAGCCTTACACAAAACGCGCCGACGCGCGGGCTACGGTTGCCTCGGGATCCACCCAGGCCGCGACAGGCGCCCCCGTCACGACATCACCCTCGGCAAGTATAAGTGCCGCTTCAGCGAAATCCGAGCAATCGGAGCTGGCGGACTTAATGGCACAGGTGAAGTCGATGCGTGAGGAGCTCGAGCACTATCGGGCGATGAAGGAGGAGGGTTTTTGATCCGGTCCGCGCTTCGTGCCGCACGCGTCGGGCCGCATATATCCTGTAACAAGTATGATGTATTGTCGACTGCAATGGTGTATGAGTTGGACCAGGGGTCCCAGCACTTTCACATCCCAGTTCGACTTCAAGGAAAAAGATGGCACAAGGACATAATCGCTATGGTGGACAGCAGAGCCACCACGAAGTTTATCAACAAGCGATTCGTTGAAGAAAATAAGGTGCAAACGCGGAAATTAAAAGAGCCGATTCCGCTATACAATATCGACGGCACCCTAAATAAAGACGGAAGCATCTCGGAGGTAGCAGTGCTACAGATGCACATTGGAGAACACGTCGAGAAGACGGTGTTCACGGTCACGGACATCGGTCCGGAAGATGTGATTGTCGGGTTGGACTGGCTGCGCAAGCACAACCCTGACATCGATTGGGAAAAAGGCTCCCTCAAATTATCACGATGCCCTGAGGCGTGCAGTGCCAGAAGGGCTGGCCAAATGGAGCAAGCGGCGACTGCGCGTGATACGGGGGTCAGGCCCACGGCGCGCAGGCGTTCGCCGAAGTCCAAACGGTCAGTCATAGGCGCTTGCCGGAGCAAGGTGCTCCCGGACTTCGAACCCGAAGATGATCCGGTGGAGGTAGAATGGAGCGAAGCCGACTTGATCGAGGCCTGGGAGCAAGGTATCACGCTTCCCGGCGCCCCTCAGCTGTTCGTCGCAGCAGGGCACACGTATTCCCAGCTGTTCGCTGAGGAAGAAATCAAGAAGAAGGTCGTTAAGACCGCTGAGGAGTCGGTACCTAAACAGTACCATGAGTTCCTGAATGTCTTCTCCAAGGAAGCATCAGAACGGTTACCCGAAAGGAAGCCGTACGATCATGCAATCGAACTCGTGCCCGGCTACTCGACGTTCCATTCGAAGGTGTATCCCCTGTCGAACAACGAACAAGAGGAACTGGACAAGTTCCTAAAAGGGCAGTTGGCGAAAGGCTACATACGGGAGTCGAAGTCACCCATCTCGTCCCCTTTCTTCTTCATCAAAAAGAAAGAGGGAACACTTCGACCCGTGCAGGACTACCGCCGGTTGAATGCGATCACTGTTAAAAACCGCTATCCTTTGCCGCTGATCGCCGAGATGGTAGATAAGCTCCGCGGTGCCACGCTCTTCACCAAGTTCGATGTCCGATGGGGATACAACAACGTCCGGATCAAGGCCGGTGACGAATGGAAGGCGGCCTTTGTGACTAACCGGGGGCTGTACGAACCCCTAGTGATGTTCTTTGGCCTCACCAACTCCCCCGCCACTTTCCAGGCAATGATGAACGAGATCTTCCACGATCTCATCGTCGGTGGCAAGATCCTCGTATACCTTGATGACATACTCATCTTCTCTACCAACAAGGAGGAGCACAAAAAGGTCACGCACGAGGTTCTTCGTCGCCTTCAGGACAACGATCTATTCCTGAAGCCTGAGAAGTGCGAATGGGACGTTCCCAAGGTCGACTATGTCGGCTATGTGTTCGGTGGCGATGAGGTAGCGATGGATCCCGCGAAGCTAAAAGGAATTAATGAGTGGCCGGTACCCCGGAACAAAAAGGATGTCCAGAAGTTCCGGGGGTTCTCCAATTTCTACCGCCGCTTCATTAAAGACTTCGCTAAGATCTCGCGACCACTCGACCGGCTCACAGGAAACGACCCATGGCATTGGGGCGAAGAGGAGCAGCACGCCTTCGACGAGCTCAAACGGCTCTTCGCGACGACTCCAGTCCTGGCGCTGTACGATCCCAATCGGGAGACGCGCATTGAGGTCGACGCCTCAGGATATGCCACTGGCGGCGTGTTGATGCAGAAGCAGGACGATGGCAAATGGCATCCTATTGCCTTCAGATCACATGCGATGGACCCGGCACAGCGGAACTACGAGATCTACGATAAGGAGATGCTCGCGATCATCGAAGCACTGGACGACTGGCACCACTATCTCGAGGGCCTACCCAATCAGTTCGAGATCGTAACCGATCATAAGAATCTCGAGTACTGGCGCACGTCACAGCACCTCACGCGTCGTCAAGCGCGATGGTCACTGTTCCTGGCTCGCTTCGACTTCCGCATCACGCACAAAGCCGGGACGTCGAATGGAAAGGCTAATGCCCTGTCGCGACGATCAGATCACCAGATCGGCGATGAGGACGATAACACCGATCAAGTAGTTCTCAAGCCGGAGCGCTTCCGCATCGCCTCCGCCAGGCGCGGTCATGCCTCGGTGACGGCCGATCAGTCGCTTCTGGAG